TGAACGACAAAACACAGCTGAACACGTTCTTCCAAATAAAATGGCCGCCGCCACATGTTCGAATGTCGAATGGCGGCCACTTTGACACTTCGACTACTTTGACTGTAGCCAAAGTGCCACTCTGAAAGTTCGAATCTGTTCCAGTTAGAAGTCCTAGAGGCAGAAATAGTATCTTTAACCTCCAGTTCACCACAGGGCCATAGTCACAGGGTAGGAGGCTGGCAAACAGGCCCCTCCAAAAACAAGTGGCGAGGTAACTTTCGCCACACTTTTTATCATATTTACATTTCAGGGACTGAGAGTGATGGGAGTCTAGTGATGGGAGAGTAATGTAGAGTTAATGTGTGTTTAAATAGCGTGCATTGCATAATCAACAGCGTTATCAGACCCAATATGCCAAAATAATGAGCAAATAACTACAAAGACTAGGTCCGGAATCTCACAAGGACACGGGATCTGCTGAATCAAGGTCCCCAGTACTCTAGAACCAATCTATCATTCTGGATGTTCCAATCTCCTTCCCGAGATCAGACAATGAATGCCTAAAACACAGGATGGAGAGCCCCTTCTATGCCTCGAAGGTCCTACGTGTGTCCTGTTTGCTGCATGGAAACTGCAGCTTCCTTTATTTATTAACACTGCTTTAAGGCTGGTGATAAACAAGCAAAAAGCGTTTTACATTCAGAATCCGTAACTTGCTTAGCTCTATATTCCATATTCCTGGATCGCTTAGCACTATATTCCATATTCCTGGCTCACTTAGTGCTGTATTCCATATTTCTGTCTCGCTTAGCTCTATATTCCAGTGTCCTCCCACCCCACCACCTGTTCCCTCTATCAGTTCCTGGCTCACTTAGTGCTGTATTCCATATTCCTGACTCACTTAGCTCTATATTCCATATTCCTGGCTCGCTTAGCTCTATATTCCACATTCCTGGTTCGTTTAGCTCTATATTCCATATTCCTGACTCACTTAGCTCTGTATTCCACATTCCTGGCTCGCTTAGTTCTATATTCCATATTCCTGGCTCACTTAGCTCTATATTCCATATTCCTGACTCACTTAGCTCTATATTCCACATTCCTGGCTCATTTAGCTCTATATTCCATTTTCCTGGCTCACTTAGCACTATATTCCATATTCCTGGCTCGCTTAGCTCTATATTCCACATTCCTGGTTCGTTTAGCTCTATATTCCATATTCCTGGCTCACTTAGCACTATATTCCATATTCCTGGCTCATATAGCTCTATATTCCATATTCCTGGCTCGCTTAGCTCTATATTCCATATTCCTGACTCACTTAGCTCTATATTCCATATTCCTGGCTCGCTTAGCTCTATGTTCCACATTCCTGGTTCGATTAGCTCTATATTCCATATTCCTGACTCACTTAGCTCTATATTCCATATTCCTGGCTCACTTAGCTCTATATTCCATATTCCTGGCTCGCTTAGCTCTATATTCCATATTCCTGGCTCACTTAGCTCTATATTCCATATTCCTGACTCACTTAGCTCTATATTCCATATTCCTGACTCACTTAGTTCTATATTCCATATTCCTGGCTCACTTAGCTCGATATTCCACATTCCTTGTTCGTTTAGCTCTATATTCCATATTTCTGGCTCACTTAGTTCTATATTCCATATTCCTGTCTCACTTAGCTCTATATTCCATATTCCTGGCTTGCTTAGCTCTATATTCCATATTCCTGACTCACTTAGTTCTATATTCCATATTCCTGGCTCACTTAGCTCGATATTCCACATTCCTTGTTCGTTTAGCTCTATATTCCATATTTCTGGCTCACTTAGTTCTATATTCTATATTCCTGGCTCGCTTAGCTCTATATTCCATATTCCTGGCTTGCTTAGCTCTATATTCCATATTCCTGGCATGCTTAGCTCTATATTCCATATTCCTGGCTCGCTTAGCTCTATATTCCATATTCCTGGCTCGCTTAGCTCTATATTCCTTATTCCTGGCTCACTGAGCTCTATATTTTATATTCCTGACTCACTTAGCTCTATATTCCATATTCCTGGCTCGCTTAGCTCTATATTCCATATTCCTGGCTCACTTAGTTCTATATTCCATATTCCTGGCTCGCTTAGCTCTATATTCCATATTCCTGGCTTACTTAGCTCTTTATTCCATATTCCTGGCTCGCCTAGCTCTATATTCCATATAACTGGCTCGCTTAGCTCTTTATTCCATTCCATATTCCTGGCTCACTTAGTTCTATATTCTATATTCCTGGCTCGCTTATCTCTATATTCCATATTCCTGGCTCGCTTAGCTCTATATTCCATATTCCTGGCTCACTTAGTTCTATATTCTATATTCCTGGCTCGCTTATCTCTATATTCCATATTCCTGGCTCGCTTAGCTCTATATTCCATATTCCTGGCTCGCTTAGCTCTATATTCCATATTCCTGGCTTACTTAGCTCTTTATTCCATATTCCTGGCTCACTTACCTCTATATTCCATATTCCTGGCTCATTTAGCTCTATATTCCATATTCTTGGCTCGCTTAGCTCTATATTCCATATTCCTGGTTCGTTTAGCTCTATATTCCATATTCCTGGCTCGCTTAGCTCTATATTCCATATTCCTGGCTCACTTAGCTCTATATTCCACATTCCTGGCTCGCTTAGTTCTATATTCCATATTCCTGGCTCACTTAGCTCTATATTCCATATTCCTGACTCACTTAGCTCTATATTCCATATTCCTGGCTCGCTTAGCTCTATATTCCACATTCCTGGTTCGTTTAGCTCTATATTCCATATTCCTGACTCACTTAGCTCTATATTCCACATTCCTGGCTCGCTTAGTTCTATATTCCATATTCCTGGCTCACTTAGCTCTATATTCCATATTCCTGACTCACTTAGCTCTATATTCCACATTCCTGGCTCATTTAGCTCTATATTCCATTTTCCTGGCTCACTTAGCACTATATTCCATATTCCTGGCTCGCTTAGCTCTATATTCCACATTCCTGGTTCGTTTAGCTCTATATTCCATATTCCTGGCTCACTTAGCACTATATTCCATATTCCTGGCTCATATAGCTCTATATTCCATATTCCTGGCTCGCTTAGCTCTATATTCCATATTCCTGACTCACTTAGCTCTATATTCCATATTCCTGGCTCGCTTAGCTCTATGTTCCACATTCCTGGTTCGATTAGCTCTATATTCCATATTCCTGACTCACTTAGCTCTATATTCCATATTCCTGGCTCACTTAGCTCTATATTCCATATTCCTGGCTCGCTTAGCTCTATATTCCATATTCCTGGCTCACTTAGCTCTATATTCCATATTCCTGACTCACTTAGCTCTATATTCCATATTCCTGACTCACTTAGTTCTATATTCCATATTCCTGGCTCACTTAGCTCGATATTCCACATTCCTTGTTCGTTTAGCTCTATATTCCATATTTCTGGCTCACTTAGTTCTATATTCCATATTCCTGGCTCGCTTAGCTCTATATTCCATATTCCTGGCTCGCTTAGCTCTATATTCCATATTCCTGGCTCGCTTAGCTCTATATTCCATATTCCTGGCTCACTGAGCTCTATATTTTATATTCCTGACTCACTTAGCTCTATATTCCATATTCCTGGCTCGCTTAGCTCTATATTTTATATTCCTGACTCACTTAGCTCTATATTCCATATTCCTGGCTCGCTTATCTCTATATTCCATATTCCTGGCTCGCTTAGCTCTATATTCCATATTCCTGGCTCGCTTAGCTCTATATTCCACATTCCTGGATCACTTAGCTCTATATTCCATATTCCTGGCTCACTTAGCTCTATATTCCATATTCCTGGCTCGCTTATCTATATTCCACATTCCTGGTTCGTTTAGCTCTATATTCCATATTCCTGGCTCACTTAGTTTTATATTCCATATTCCTGGCTCGCTTAGCTCTATATTATATATTTCCGGCTCACTTAGCTCTATATTCCATATTCCTGGCTCGCTTAGCTCTATATTCCATATTCCTGACTCACTTAGCCCTATATTCTACATTCCTGGTTCGTTTAGCTCTATATTCCACATTCCTGGATCACTTAGCTCTATATTCCATATTCCTGGCTCACTTAGCTCTATATTCCATATTCCTGGCTCGCTTAGCTCTATATTCCACATTCCTGGTTCGTTTAGCTCTATATTCCATATTCCTGGCTCACTTAGTTTTATATTCCATATTCCTGGCTCGCTTAGCTCTATATTATATATTTCCGGCTCACTTAGCTCTATATTCCATATTCCTGGCTCGCTTAGCTCTATATTCCATATTCCTGGCTCACTTAGTTCTATATTCCATAGTCCTGGCTGGCCAAGCGCTATCTTTCATATTCCTAGTTTTCTTGGCGATATATTCTATTTTCCTGAGGGTGATCTAATGTGCATCCAATAGCTACCTCTACCTAGATGCTTCTCCAAACACCCTGAACAAAGTTAGTCCTCCTTTGCACCCATTAGTTTCTTTAGAGCACACCAATAGGTGTTTGCAGCCTGACAGTAATCTTAGATAATTCACTGTGCACCCCAATACACTCCCTGTGTCCCCTGTGCACCCCAATACACACCCTGTATGCACTGTTATTGATCCCCTGTGTCCCCAATACACACCCTGTATGCACTGTTATTGATCCCCTGTGTCCCCCAATACACACCCTGTATGCACTGTTATAGAAACATAGAATGTGACGGCAGATAAGAACCATTCGGCCCATCTAGTCTGCCCAATTTTCTAAATACTTTCATTAGTCCCTTGCCTTATCTTATAGTTAGGATAGCCTTATGCCTATCCCACGCATGCTTAAACTCCTTTACTGTGTTAACCTCTACCACTTCAGCTGGAAGGCTATTCCATGCATCCACTACCCTCTCAGTAAAGTAATACTTCTGATATTATTTTTAAACCTTTGTCCCTCTAATTTAAGACTATGTCCTCTTGTTGTGGTAGTTTCTTCTTTTAAATATAGTCTCCTCCTTTACTGTGTTGATTCCCTTTATGTATTTAAATGTTTCTATCATATCCCCCCTGTCTCGTCTTTCTTCCAAGCTATACATGTTAAGATCCTTTAACCTTTCCTGGTAAGTTTTATCCCACAATCCATGAAACAGTTTAGTAGCCCTTCTCTGAACCCTCTCTAAGGTATCAATATCTTTCTGAAGATACGGTCTCCAGTACTGTGTATAATACTCCAAGTGAGGTCTCACCAGTGTTCTGTACAATGGCATGAGCACTTCCCTCTTTCTACTGCTAATACCTCTCCCTATACAACCAAGCATTCTGCTAGCATTTCCTTCTGCTCTATTACATTGTCTGCCTACCTTTAAGTCATTAGAAATAATCACCCCTAAATCCCTTTCCTCATATGTTGAGGTTAGGACTCTATCAAATATTCTGTACTCTGCCCTTGGGTTTTTACGTCCAAGATGCATTATCTTGCACTTATCCACATTAAATGTCAGTTGCCACAATTCTGACCATTTTTCTAGTTTACCTATATCATTTACCTAAATCATCAGTTATTGATCCCCTGTGCCCCCCAATACACACCCTGTATGCACTGTTATTGAATCCCTGTGGCCCCCAATACACTCCCTGTATTCATTGTTATTGATCCCCTGTGTCCCCAATACACTCCCTGCATTCACTGTTATTGATCCCCTTTGTCCCCCAATACATACCCTGTGTGCACTGTTATTGATCCCCTGTGTCCCTCAAGACAATTCCTGTATGCACTGTTATTGATCCCCTGTGTCCCCAATACACTCTCTGTATGCACTGTTATTGATCCCCTGTGTCCCCAATACACACCATGTATGCACTGTTATTGATCCCCTGTGTCCCCAATACACACCCTGTATGCACTGTTATTGATCCCCTGTGCCCCCCAATACACACCCTGTATGCACTGTTATTGATCCCCTGTGTTCCCAATACACATGCTGTATGCACTGTTATTGATCCCCTGTCTCCCCAGCTGGATGTGCTGTGCACTGTTATTGATCCCCTGTGTCCCCAGCCGGCTGTGCTGTGCACTGTTATTGATCCCCTGTGTCCCCAGCTGGCTGTGCACTGTTATTGATCCCCTGTGTCCCCAGCTGGCTGTGCACTTTATTGATCCCCTGTGTCCCCAGCTGGCAGTGCTGTGCACTGTTATTGATCCCCTGTGTCCCCAGCTGGCTGTGCTGTGCACTGTTATTAATCCCCTGTGTCCCCAGCTGGCTGTGCTGTGCACTGTTATTGAACCCCTGTGTCCCCAGCTGGCTGTGCTGTGCACTGTTATTGATCCCCTGTGTCCCCAGCTGGCTGTGCACTGTTATTGATCCCCTGTGTCCCCAATACACCCTGTATGCACTGTTATTGATCCCCTGTGTCCCCCAATATACAACCTGTATGCACTGTTATTGATCCTCTGTGTCCCCAATACACACCCTGTATGCACTGTTATTGATCCTCTGTGTCCCCAATACACACCCTGTATGCACTGTTATAGATCACCTGTGCACCCCAATACACACCCTGTATTCACTGTTATTGATCCCCTGTCCCCCCAATACACACCCCGTATTCACTGTTATAAATCCCCTGTCCCCCAATACACTCCCTGTATGCACTGTTATTGATCCCCTGTGTCCCCAATACACTCCATGTATGCACTGTTATTGATCCCCTGTGTCCCCAATACACACCCTGTATGCACTGTTATTGATCCCCTGTGCCCTCCAATACACACCCTGTATGCACTGTTATTGATCCCCTGTGTTCCCAATACACACCCTGTATGCACTGTTATTGATCCCCTGTGTCCCCAGCTGGATGTGCTGTGCACTGTTATTGATCCCCTGTGTCCCCAGCTGGCTGTGCTGTGCACTGTTATTGATCCCCTGTGTCCCCAGCTGGCTGTACACTGTTATTGATCCCCTGTGCCCCCAGCTGGCTGTGCACTTTATTGATCCCCTGTGTCCCCAGCTGGCAGTGCTGTGCACTGTTATTGATCCCCTGTGTCCCCAGCTGGCTGTGCTGTGCACTGTTATTGATCCCCTGTGTCCCCAGCTGGCTGTGCTGTGCACTGTTATTAATCCCCTGTGTCCCCAGCTGGCTGTGCTGTGCACTGTTATTGATCCCCTGTGTCCCCAGCTGGCTGTGCACTGTTATTGATCCCCTGTGTCCCCAGCTGGCTGTGTACTGTTATTGATCCCCTGTGTCCCCAGCTGGTTGTGCACTGTTATTGATCCCCTGTGTCCCCAGCTGACTGCTGTGCACTGTTATTGATCCCATGTGTCCCCAGCTGGCTGTGCACTGTTATTGATCCCCTGTGTCCCCAGCTGGCTGTGCTGTGCACTGTTATTGATCCCCTGTGTCCCCAGCTGGCTGTGCACTGTTATTGATCCCCTGTGTCCCCAGTTGGCTGTGCTGTGCACTGTTATTCATCCCCTGTGTCCCCAGATGGCTGTGCACTGTTATTGATCCCCTGTGTCCCCAGCTGGCTGTGCACTGTTATTGATCCCCTGTGTCCCCAGCTGGCTGTGCACTGTTATTGATCCCCTGTGTCACCAGCTGGCTGTGCTGTGCACTGTTATTGATCCCCTGTGTCCCCAGCTGGATGTGCTGTGCACTGTTATTGATCCCCTGTGTCCCCAGCTGGCTGTGCACTGTTATTGATCCCCTGTGTCCCCAGCTGGCTGTGCACTGTTATTGATCCCCTGTGTCCCTAGCTGGCTGTGCACTGTTATTGATCCCATGTGTCCCCAACTGGCTGTGCTGTGCACTGTTATTGATCCCCTGTGTCCCCAGCTGGCGGTGCACTGTTATTGATCCCCTGTGTCCCCAATACACACCCTGTATGCACTGTTATTGATCCCCTGTGTCCCTCAATATACACCCTGTATGCACTGTTATTGACCCCCTGTGTCCCCAATACACACCCTGTATGCACTGTTATTGACCCCATGTGTCCCCAATACACACCCTGTATGCACTGTTATAGATCACCTGTGCACCCCAATACACACCCTGTATGCACTGTTATTGATCCCCTGTCCCCCCAATACACACCCTGTATTCACTGTTATAAATCCCCTGTCCCCCCCAATACACTCCCTGTATGCACTGTTATTGATCCCCTTTGTCCCCAATACACACCCTGTATGCACTGTTATTGATCCCCTGTGTTCCCAATACACACCCTGTATGCACTGTTATTGATCCCCTGTGTCCCCAGCTGGATGTGCTGTGCACTGTTATTGATCCCCTGTGTCCCCAGCTGGCTGTGCTGTGCACTGTTATTGATCCCCTGTGTCCCCAGCTGGCTGTACACTGTTATTGATCCCCTGTGTCCCCAGCTGGCTGTGCACTTTATTGATCCCCTGTGTCCCCAGCTGGCAGTGCTGTGCACTGTTATTGATAGCCTGTGTCCCCAGCTGGCTGTGCTGTGCACTGTTATTGATCCCCTGTGTCCCCAGCTGGCTGTGCTGTGCACTGTTGTTAACTCTGTGTCCTCTCTGTAGCCGGGCTTCTCGTGCTGCACTGTTATTGATCCCCTGTGTCCCCAGCTGGCTGTGCACTGTTATTGATCCCCTGTGTCCCCAGCTGGCTGTGCACTTTATTGATCCCCTGTGTCCCCAGCTGGCAGTGCTGTGCACTGTTATTGATCCCCTGTGTCCCCAGCTGGCTGTGCTGTGCACTGTTATTAATCCCCTGTGTCCCCAGCTGGCTGTGCTGTGCACTGTTATTGAACCC